GGTCCCCGCTCCCCTGGGTCCCCGCTCCCCTGGGTCCCCGCTTCCCTGCCGTTCCCCGCCCATATCTCACCGCCTCCACCCGCAGGCCTACACTAGCCAGTTCGTCTCACTCGTGCTGTTTGGCCTGATGATGTCCGAGGACCGAATTTCGCTCCAAAACCGGAGACAAGAGATCATCCGCGGCCTGAGATCATTACCCGGTGCGTACCGCTTCCAAGTTCTCAGTGCTCGCCCGCGCTGCGGGCCGGCACCTCTGAGCAGGTGCGGTGGAGCTGAGCGCCTGGAGCGCCCGGGCCGGTTAGGTCCCCGCCTTCTCCCCGACTCCAGCACAGTGGACTGTGAGCCTCACTCTTAAAGCGAATCACACTGCAGCACTTGTTGCCAATTAATACACCTGAAGCTTTGGGTCAAAACTTAGAATTTTGGAAAACATTATCTACCACCCTGAGCTTTACCACTTCCCAACGTTTAAACTCTTCTCTGATGAGCTCATGGTGGTCTCAACAAATGTGATTTCTAAGATGTATTTTATAGTGAAATGTGTCTATTTTTAAATGATTTATGTATGGATAATGCATGTAATAAAATTCAGCATACACGTGTAAAGGAGCTATTTAAAGTATAAGGTAAATATTGACCACAAAACTTTATTGATAAGATTTCGTATTCTATATTTGTAACTACCACTTAAAGAACTACCTCTCAAGTTTGATATAATATCAAAGAGCACTTGAATTCCTTGAAAATTACTTGGAAAAAGAAATTACTTATTCCTTTTCCAATTACAAATCTCTGAGAGCTTGTATCTCAACACATTTAATGAGGAAACAGATAAGAGTCAACTGCTTTTTATTGGATATTAAAGAGATATGCAAAATGTTAAAGTGCTACTATTCTCACCCATTCTTTCCAGAAAAAATGTTATGAACTTAATATTATTTTAAATGAATGAGTAGATATTTTTAAATTTCTCAATCTTATCTTCTAATGTCGTAAGTAAGGCGAGCTATAGCCTATGAAAACAAAGGCTCCTGAGGGACTTGCCATAATTTTAAGGCACCCTGGAAGCAGGAAGTCTGAGGACCCTAGTGCACTTGCGCCGCCTGGAGGCAACAAGGGGACAGGCCTGACTACAGGCCTTCCTCCCGAGCGTCAGCCCCTCCCCCGTGCTGGTTTCACTTCTGAGCCTGGGCCGCCTTTCTATAAAATGGATCGAAAAAGGCAAAAGGATTTTTTTTTTTCTCCGAATGCCTTCAGGGCAGGTTTGGCTAGCTTGAGTTGTGGGGATGGAACCACAGCAACCTGAGCCTGACTGCTTTGTTGAAGCAGCCTCTTAAACAACTGAGCTAAGGGGCAGGCCCCCTATAAAATGGAGCTGGAAATAATAGTTCCCTATCTCCTGCAAGCGCTTTAAAAAGCCACACAATTATGAATTACTGTCCCAAGAGATTTCTAGCCAGTAAGCCAAGTTATTTCCCATAATCTTAAATTTAAAGCCCTTCTAATCTAATGCGAGGAAGCACCGTATATCAAGTAACTGAGTTCCAGGCCTTAGGTTATCACAGACTTCCTTTATGAGCAGTTTTGAGGGTAGAATGACTGGCTGTCCCTCTGCTGTGTGTCTTGTCTTAGAGCTTATCAAGGAAGTGCTGTCCCTGGAAGAGAAGATCCACGACCTGGCCCTGGAGCTCTACACACAGAGGTCCCTCCTGGTGATGGGCAGGGGGTATAACTATGCTACGTGTCTAGAAGGAGCCTTGGTGAGCCCCTCTGCTGAGCCTCTACCCCAGCATCCCACTGTGCAGGCGGGAGACCAGAACACCTGTCCAGAAACCAGTGGAACAAAGGCACAACACCTTCAGGGAGGGAAGGGCCAGCCACCTCCAGAGACTACCGTGAGCCCCACTCTCACCCAGGCTGTTATGGCCCTGGGGACCGAGGGGGTGCCCATCCCCAGGGAGCTTCTAGTCTACCAGGAGAAAGGGACAGAATACCCTTGGTGAGCCCCATAAGTGGCTGGCCCATGCCAGGCTCCATCTGGAGTAGCTCAGTCACATTTCATGGACAGTGTCTGAGAGATTCCTGGTAACTGTCCTCACTGTAGACAGAAACCAAGGCTACAACAGGCTCATTAGCCTGCTCAGGGTTGCATAAAGGAACTGAATTGTTCCACTGCTGCAGGCAGTGTGTTCAGGAGGATTTTGTAGACCTCCTGCATGATTTGCATGATGGGGCCTCTGCAGGGCCATGGAGCCTTCATCGCTCTTCTGGACACAGGCCCTCCCAGAACCTCCATGTGGCCTTTCGTGTTGTCACAGAGCCTCAGAGCCTCATTCATTATCGACTGACTTCAATGCCAGCCACAGCTACATAGCTAGACCCTGTCTCAGGAACCAGAAATAAGCCAGGAGGGAGAAGGGTCACAAGTTCCAGTAGCCTAGGCACTTTAGCAGTTGTCTCCAAGGGAAGCAGGCAGAGTGTGGGCTTGACATGAGCAGGATTGATTTTATCACTGACCATTGATGGCCACTTTATTTTTTTGTTGTTTTATTTATTTTTATATTAGTTTTATTCAGAAAGAAATAACAATGAGACAGTTTCAAAACAGGTTAGTAGGACAGTTAAAATAATTAATACATTGCATATTGTTGTCTTCGTAGTAGTTATTCATAGCACAAGATGCAGACATGATATCTGGTCTAAACACTATTAGTTCACAACTTTCTTCTCACTGAACTAAGACAAAGTAGCTGTAATCTATGCTATTTTGTATATACATATTTTTTTTCACTACAAAATAGTCCTTCCTTTATATCCCCCTTTTTGTTTTCTTTTGTCAGAGATGGGTATTCTATTGACATTCATATATTGTAGGTGCATGAATTCTGCAAAGTAACCTAATATAATCCAGTAGTCCCTAGTAGTAGTGGGGTATATGCATGACTGGCAAGGTCAGAAGTCGTTGACTTGAGCTCAGCATATTAATATGGCTTTACTTTTTATTACCTCACTTTTAAACTTTTCTGCTGGATGGTTAAAGCAAGACCTACATAACAAAAAATGTGACTTTTGTATCTGATGAGGTCAGTCAGATTCCCTCAGGATTTACCCTGAAACCCTGTACCACAGTTTGTAGATCTTTTGTCAGTGCCAGCCATGTGGATGAGTCACGTTCATTGCTTGACCAGTTTGCTCTGTGTGAAAGCCTGAAAGAATGATGGCCACTTTAATCTTGAGGCTGGATGATAGAGCAGAAAGTTCCAGCTTGCTGATCCTGCCCTGATCTTTCTGGTAACCAATGAGGCGCTGTCAGCCCTCAGTCCATCACTAACACCTGTCCTTGGAAGAGCCCAAGGATTTTAGGATTCTCCAGGAAAAGCTGATGAAGACAGGGTACATATTTCACATGATAGTTAATCCCTGGCCTTTGCACCCAGTATTATGAGAGTCTGACTGCTGTCAAAGTGAGGAGCTGAAACATACTGCATCTCCAGGGGTACAGTGAAGCAGCCTGGATGGGGTACACCTTAGACCCCGGTAAGGCAGTTCTGCTGCCAGGCTCCAGTGACTCAGCATAAGGTGAAAGATGCAAATCCAGCCATTTCTCCAGTTAGTCACTGGGTAAAGAAGGAAGCTGCTGGCACAAGTCAGCGGCCTCTCTGTGGTCATTCAGAGGCCTGTACCCAACTGCCTGCATGTGCCAGGGAGGAGCCTCAGCCCTTACAATGTTTCCCTGACCTGAATAAACAGATCTGGGGGGAAAGATACTTTCTTCCACAGTCTCATCAATGCAGTGACATGGACTTATTGGTGACTGAATAACAATGGATCCAATCTACCTCATGTACTGTAAACATGCATTAATAATAATTAAAAAAATGGATCTATATGAACCTACGAAAAATTGGAATAGCCAAGCATATGCGATTTTGTTTGTTAGGTCAGCTGAAGCAACTGTCAGGATGGATCTAAAGTTGAAGGGATGATTACCCCCGAGCATAGGGACCACCTAAACAGGCACAGTGGTATTGCCGTCCACAGTGATGGTAAGGAGACTGAGACTGGCTGAACGGGGGAAGGCAGGAGACTGGCGCGACTCAGTGTCTAGCATGGGTAGCCATGTGTGGAACTGAGAAAGACGAGCTGTGTGCCTGGGGCTGGCCTGAGGACACAAGCTGTGAGCCAGCCTCTGTGTGCCCAGCACAGCAGCCGGACCCTCGCCTGGCCTTGCTACGGCTGCTGTGACTGCCCCACGCACACACTTGCCTCTCACCCCCAAGCTTCTGGCTTCCAGAGTTCTCCCTCTCCTAGCTTCCGTTTCTCCCTTCCAGCTGACCTGTTCAGCCCCTCTCTGCCCAGTGTGATGCTGACCCCTTATGTTTCCCCAGAAAATTAAAGAGATAACTTACATGCACTCGGAAGGCATCCTGGCTGGGGAGCTGAAGCATGGGCCCCTGGCGCTGGTTGACAAGCAGATGCCCGTCATCATGGTCATCATGAAGGACCCTTGTTTTGCCAAATGCCAGAATGCTCTGCAGCAGGTCACAGCCCGCCAGGTGAGGCCTCTGCAGGGCTGGGGACGCCGCTTTTCTGCTGTCTTCCATGAATGTGCACCTCACACTTCATGCCACACAGCTGTGGGTTGTGTTGCCAGTGCGCAGGTGCGATCACACACAGTCCCATACCCCTGTAAGATGGGTACGCATTTGGAAGCCAATGCCAGGCTTCAGCCAGACCTTACCACGGCTCCTCTGTCAGGCCCAGTGACCAGTCTGTCCCCAGCTGCCTTGGAGTCTAGGCCTGGGGACTGGAGGGGCAGCGTCCCCCTGGCTCCTGGGTGTGGGGTCTCCTGAGGTTACTTCAGTCTCTTTTTGATGCTAACTAGGCAGTTAGGTCAGATTTCACAGGGCAGGGCATCCTCTTCAGACACCAGTCAGGTGTTACAGAGCCAAAGGGCCACTCATCCTTTGACACTCGTACCAATCAAAGTACATCACTGGCCTCGGAGGACAGCTGATATTCTGAAGACAAGAATTAGTGTGAAGGAAAGAGCTTTTAGTAAAGTAAGCAACTGATGGGAAAATGGCCAGACTTTTGTCCTAATTGGTATTTTGAAAAATTCAGGTTCACAAAAGGATGGTTTTTGGTTGCTATATTAGGGTTTGAACCAGGGACTTTGGACTGAGCTATATATCCAGCCCCCAATTTTTTTTGAAACAGGGTCTCACTCTAGGCTCAAGACCTTCCTGCCTCTCCACGTGCTGGGTTCCAGGTGTGGACCACACAAGGCAGGGAGAAGGTGAAGGGCAAAAAGGCTGTGCATCAAGACCTGCCACTTCTTTCTCTCGGACAGCCCGGTGATTACAAGGAACTTCTAGCACCTGGGCCAGCCCTTTACTGCTTTATGGAAGCACGTTATTTTCATAGGCTTTAATTTTAGAAAGCAGGATCCACAAGCCAATTTGAAGACCACCAGGTGTCCCCATTCTAAAGATGTAAAGAAAGATCTCTGAATAGGAGTGCGAGGACCATGATTTTTCCCTTTGTTCTCTTTTCTGGAATAGTTGACTCTAGAAATTAATACCTCAGCCATTTAAAGGGGGATTTTGTTTTAGAAGTGACAATATTGGGGAAAGGCAAAAAATAAGGGCTTTGCATAAGGCTATTTTGCAAGCACAGTGACATAAAGCAGAATGGTGTGTGCATTGCCACAGTTGGCTGGCCACGAACTGGGGCACTCTCGTAACCCCCCAGCTCAATGCTTCTCTAGAACAGCTCAGAGAACCAAGAAGTGTTGTACCGCTTATTTCAATTTGAATATAAGAATACCACTCAGGACCATAGCCCCAGGGCACCAAACCTGAAGTGTCCCTGCCCTCAATACAAATCACCTCCTGGTGGAGCACCTCGAGCTGCCAGGCTCCAGTGACTTTGGAGCTTTGGTGCCCATGACTTTTCTTGAGGGTTCATTAAGTAAGGATGACCGCTTAGCTCATTGGCTTTTGACTGAACTTGGTCTCCAGTTCTCCGTTCTGTCGTAAGGGCCCAAAGTCACAATCCTGTAACACATAGTTGGCAGTCTGGCGTAGTCACTCCCATCCTAAAGCTGTCTTTGGACCCATCATGAATTGTCTCACCAGCATAGAATCAGGTGTCATCCAAGGGGCCCATCACAAGAGACAAAGATGCTTTCATATCACTCAGGAAAGTCCAAAACAGTCCAGTCTCTCTCCCAGAGACCAAGCACAGAGACTGGCTAAATTCCTGATGGTACAGCTGCTTTTCCTGGCACGGAGGGCAGAGCCCCAAGACTCCCTCTGGGAATGCTCAGGAAGTTACAGGAAGGTGATCTACAGTAATGTGTCCAAGCCCAGGGCTGCCACACCTGTCTCAGCACAGCGGTCGGACCATACCACTTCCCTGCTGGAAACCCTCCCATGGCTTCCCACGCAACCGCAGTGACCCCCAAGCATGCATTGCCTGTCCCTCTCCTCCTGCCTCACTGAGTTACAGCCACTCCACCTCCTGTGTCCTCCCCATGCCACGCTCAGTCCTGCTCAGAGCCTTTGTGCTGGGTGTTTCCTCTGCCTGAAATTCTCTTCCCAAAGGTCAGGGTCAGCTCCAAATCACTGGGGTCTCAAGCCCAACATCTCCTTTCTGAGCAGCCTTCCCAGACCTCCCTGAGCCCCTCAGTCACACTGTTTTATTGCCATGTGGTATTTACCTAAAACTCATCTTCATGTCACGTTTGGGGTTTTTTTTTGCAGATCTGGGGATTGAACTCAGGCCCTTGCACTTGCCAGGCACACTTATTCTACTGAGCCATCTCCCCAGCCCCTTCACCATTTGTTTATAGTTCTGTTTTCCCACACTAAATTATGAACCCCATGAGGGTTAAAAGTGGGACTTTCTGGCCCTTTGTAAGACACTCTGAAGCCACTCAACAAATGGGGGCTGAATGATGTGAATGCCAGCGGTGATCTTACCAGAAAGGGACCGGATGCACCACGAAGCATCACATACTTCATCCCTTATGTAAATCACAAACTGCACTTCACTCAATTTCAACACTGGCATTAATGCTGACTCCAGAAACTGCACCATGGGAATGGTTGCAGCTTCCGGAAGTGACCTGTTTTGCAATCTATTTCTCTACCCTAGGGTCGCCCAATTATACTGTGCTGCAAGGACGACACTGAAAGTTCCAAGTTTGCATACAAAACCATCGAGCTGCCGCACACTGTGGACTGCCTCCAGGGCATCCTGAGCGTGATCCCCCTGCAGCTTCTCTCCTTCCACCTGGCTGTGCTCCGAGGATATGATGTAAGTCCAAGCTGTGCACCTCACCTCTACGCCACAGAGGAGACACACAGCTGACTCCTACATGTCTATCCTCAGAGTAGCACCTGATGTTTCCAGGCACATACACCATGTACAATGCCAAAGTTCCCTTTTCTTTAAATATTTTTTTGAGTAGTAATTGGAGAAATAATTTCATTGCAAATAACTTTATAAAGTAGCTTATATCCCTTGAAAACAAGCTGAGAACAGCAAAAAGGTGGAGAAGGCCATTATCAAATTATAACCTCATCACCGAAAGATAATATTAATTAACAAATGGAATATTTTATTCAGGTATTTTTCCTGCTGATGTGAACTTTTAAAAAACATTTTTCAATATTATATCAAGGATAAAATTTTCTCTTTTATTATTTTTCACATCTTTATGAAATTGTTATATGCAACATTTAATCATTGCATAGTTCATCAAAATCTTATAACATGATCTTAACATTTACTCAGCCAGTTTGTTACTATTTAAATTTTTCCAATTTTTTATTTTCTTAAATAACACTGCAGTGAACATCTTTGTACATACACCTTAGTTCCCCATCAGAGATTTGCTCTTAATCTAGCTAATGAGACATTTTGAGATTCCTAATGTGTATTGCCAAATTATGTTCCAGGAAAGAATCACTTAGGTTCTTACGTGTGGAAGAACACATAATTCACTGTACAAAGAAATAAATGTTTAATTAAAATTTTCTTTGAAGTGCTTTCTAAAACATACAGCAAAGTCCACAACAGAACAAACATTTGAATGTTTGTAGCATCCAGAATTGACACTTGCTAACACTTTGTCATATTTGCTTTATCTCCCCCTAAAATATAAAATAAACAATCTCACTTTATCACCATTTCCAAACATACTTCCTTCCCAACTGCTACCCTAAAAACAAGTTTTGTGAAACTATGTATATTTTTCGAAGAACTTCCTCCTTTCTTCTCTCCCTCCCTCCCTCCCTCCCTCCCTCCCTCCTTCCTTCCTTCCTTCCTTCCTTTTCTTCTCTCTCAGTGCTGCAGTGCTGGGGGGCCCTAGGCCTCACGCTCACTAGACAGCTGCTCCACCACTGAGCTACACTCCCAGCCCCCAGAAGTGAGTTTTAACAGAGCACACTGAGCCAGTTGATTTCAAATGCATGGATCATAATCTTTCAAGAGTGTTACAAGGCATGACACACCAGGTGCACACTAAGTGTTTGTGAACAAGCTAATTATACACCAAAATGAAGCTTCTAGGAGGAATTCACTTCTGGGAGGTAGGTGTCAAAGTACCTTATGGTAGGAAGTGACTGAGGACAGTTTCCTTGCATCACACACTCTAATGCCTTGAAGGTGTGGCATATGGTTACCATCAGCGGGGGCCTCAGCAGCACCTTTCTTTCCTTCCCAGGTTGACTTCCCTAGAAATCTGGCCAAGTCTGTCACAGTGGAGTGAAGAGAATCACCACCTTGTGTGCTCTGAGACCTGTCGCACAGTGGACACCGCAAGAGAAAGTGGACATTACCCAGTGCCACATGTTCCCAGTACAGCTTGACCGCTTCGAAGTGCCTTGTACCCAAGTGCTTTTGCCTACAGCAGATCCTGATTCTCTGTGCCCTAAAGTTGCCTGAGAAGGAGATGGTTGTTTACACACGGGCATCAGAGCAGACTTCCACTGCTGTGCAACATATGGCTCTCTCAGAGTAACTGTGAACCTTTTGAAACACTAGTTTTTTTAAAAAAGTATTTATAATGGATGATTGTATAGCTTTTAAGTTATTTTTGTAGTATGTGGCTTTCTGTAGCCATGGTAATGCCCAGACTTCATCTCAGCACCCAGCACACTGGTGCCGGCCTTGCTCCTGGCGAGTGGCCCTTCTCTCAAACTGAGCACAAGGGACTGGCCATCTGGGCTTTTTCATCCTCCCCTCCCCTCTGGGCTGCTCCTGGTTCCTGTCCTCTGATGTCAGTGAAGCCCTGCAGGTCTTCCTATGCCTACCACAAGTCCAGTTGAAATCTCAGCTTCCTTCAAAACTTCCTTCTATTCTAGGACCTAGATCCCGCCAACTGTCCTGACTTACGTTTAATCAGACAATCGTTCTTTTCAAGTCCAAGTAGCATTTTGGCCCTGCTCCCTACCCATAGGAAAATAGCTTGAAAGGTCCCATGCAAAAAGAGAATAGTTTCAAATGGGCTACCCTGGTCTGTATTTAAAAGTGCACAGTCAAAGTACAATGCAATTTTACGACAATAAAGATAGTACATTTGCTTGTGTGTTGAGTGTCTGGATCTGGTTAACCTTATTCTTTTTGTGTACTTTGGATACTGAAGCCTTCCAAGAGCTCCGCAGGTCTGTTTGTTAGTGCCACAGCTCGGGTGTGCCACAGTGCAGCTGTTGGCAGGAACCGAACCTGAGAACTATGGGGCTTTCCTACACCTCCGCCTTCCAGTCACAAACTAACAAGGGGCCTCTACCTGCCAGCAGTAACAAGCCTTTCTGCTGTCCTGAGCCAGCCATGGTCAGTGTAACTCTGGGATGGGCGACTGTAAACTCTCCAGAACATGCTTACCTGGTCAAGACCTCGAAGAATGTATTTCAGCCTTACGCCCAAGGGGTGATGATCATATCGCCTTTGTGCCATTCTCCTTACTTGTCCCTGTAGTTCTATCTGTATGTTTGTCCTCAACAACATATATGTGGTCTTCTTTACCCATCGGTTCTGCACCTATGGATTCAACCAACCACAGACCAGAAATATTTGGAAAAATCCCGGAAAATTTCAAAAACGAAATTTGAATTGCTGTACACCAAGTAGTATACGTGCTGAATCCACAGGAATGAAGTTATAGTAGACACTACATTAGGTATAATAAATAACCTAGACGTGCTCTAAATTATTTAAGGGTCTATTTGTAGTTTATGTGCAAGTGCTTTGTTGTTTTCTTAAGGGACGTGAGCATCTTACAGTGACTGTCGCACGCACAGGAGATCCTGGGTCCAATCCCCCATGGGTAGTAGGGATGACTGCCTCTGCTGGACGGAGGCTGCAGAAGGAGGTCGGGGATAGGTCATCAGGTCATGATCTGACTTCCACTTGTAGAGTAGACCAGCCCCTTCTGGGGAAGCTCAGGGCAAGGTCACCACAGGATCTCAGGAGACACGGGGCTCAGCACAGCCGGATAGGCCTCAGGTGCGAAGCGAGTACTTGGGCAGCAGCAGCAGCAGAAATGCAGTGGAGGGAGGGAACAAGGAAGGGGGGAAGGAGGGAAGGAGGCTCTGTCACCTCTGCTTCTGAGCACACCACTGTGGCCTCCTCTAGCTCTGGGGAGGAAAGCTGAAGGCTGAGTGGTGTTGTGTGTCTTAGCACAGCAGGGGGCAGCCCTTTGACAGCGTGGCAGGGGTTGTCAAGGACCTTGTCCTCACCCTCCTGCACACTTGCCTGGGTGTTGGTGATGACTGTCTACATCTCGGGTCATGTAGAATGCTCAGTTGCCTTCCATGTCTGGGCAGAGCTGTTATCTGGATTAACTTCATCCTTCCAGGGGTTCCATCTCCTCTCACAGGTTGAGGGCCTGCCTCCTTTTCTTGTTTGAGTGGGACGTGACCTTCCTGAGAAAGGGCACCTGAGGGTGTTGTGGCTTGGATACCCTCACCAACACGGACGGTGAGATTTAGTCCCTGCTGTCAGGCATTAAAAGGACAGATTCAATCCACTGTGGATCTGGGGCCTTTGGGAAGCAACCGAGGTTTAGTGAAGCTGCCGTAGGAGGGGTTCTAATCCAGCTTCATAGGAGGAGAACTCCTATGCCAGGGTGTTCTGTTCCTCCGACGACCACGTGATTCTCCGACCACGTGAATCTCCACACTGCTCTGGGACTCTGCAGGGTCTACACCAGCAAGGACTTCACAAGAGCAGCAGCCCAATCTTGAACTTCCAGCCTTCAGAACCTTAGTTCATTCAGCAATGACAACATACAATGCCATTAACTAGGTAGTACAAAAATAGACCATTTATTTGTCCCTATTTTGGAAGCTGGGAAACCCCAGACCAAGGAACCTAGAGTTGGTGCCAGGAGACGACCACTTCCTGGACCATGCACAGATGCCTTCTGGGTGTCTTCACTTGGTAGGACATGAGGGCGTTCGCTGGGGCCTCTTCCATAAGAGCACCTACCTCATCCACAAGGGTTCCACCTTCATGACTCAATCATCCTTGAAAGGTCCCACTTCCGTGACCATCACGTTGAGGGGCAGGATTTCAACATATGCCTTAGGAGCGCAGGAACAAATACTGACACCACAGAAGAAGGTACAGTGCTTGAAAGCTTACAGGTCTAGAAATGACTTTATTACTCACACTTGATTGAGGGTTTTCCAAAATACAGAATTTAAGGTTAAAAAAATTTCCCTCTCAAATTTTGAAGTACCATAACGCTGTCTCATTTGGTTCCCCATGTTACTGTTGAGGACTCCAAAGGCATTCTAATGTGTCTTTAATAGGTGACCTCTTAGTCTCCTATTTGTTCCTTGTGTTCTAAGTCATCATAATGTGAAACATTGGGTCTCCTGTCATTTATAGTTAACTGCAGGCATGTAACTCACGCCCTTCAGTTCAGTGGAATTTTCTAACATTTAGTACTTTGTTGCAGAGTTCTTCCTCTGTTTCTCTGCCTCTCTAGAATATCTGCTACAAGCTGAAGCCCTGGATCCACCTGTGTATTTATCCTTCCCTTTGTCTATCTTGTTATCTACTACTTGTTAAACTTCAGTTTTCTCTACCAACCTATTACTAAGATTTTTCATTTCTATCAAAATGACTTAATTTCCAAGTACTCTTTGCTTTAAATATAGAAGTATTATGTAATACACTTAAAAAATAAAGTCTATACTATAATTTAGTTTTTATCTAACGTACATTTTCTGTGCTGGGATACCAAGGGAGAGAGGGTACCTAAGCTGAGTGCCACATAGAAGCAGTGTTCTCAGTGGCTGTACAGTGGAGTGTGGAATGGCCCTCTGCTCTCTCCTCCGGGCATCTCCTAAAGCACCATCAGCTGGACTCTCACTGCCAGACATGGGACCAGAAAGCCCTTTTCTGGAAGTAGAAATAGTCCCAAGAAAAGGCCCAACATTATCCATAGTCCCTAGAGCACTCCCAGAGTTCCCCACTGAGAATCTTGGCATTACCAGGGTGCACCATATGCTCAGGACCACTGACCGGCCCACGGTGAATCTTAGTGGACAGCCCAAATCCACATGGCAAAGAAAGCTAAGGCCATCAAGCAGAGGACTGCATCTTAAAAGAAACAGACAGTGCATACAGAAGAACATTCCAGAAGAAAAGGTGTATCATTTGTGACTTCAGAGTGAAAAATCCTACGTTCTTGGATGAGCCTCAGTCATTTCCTTGGGCTCCTCTCGGCACTGACTTTCTCAGGCTTTCCTCATTTTGGTTGCTCTTGACCAAAGTTAGGTACACCGTTAGGTATTTTGTGTGGCATTCCTGGTTGGTTTCTCTGACACCTTCCCATGTTTAAAATGGGATTATGGGTTTTTAGGAGGGAGACCACAAGAAAAGTACCATCGCCCTCACTTTAAATCATGGCCACGTACTAGCAACAAGCCTTACCACGGTGACATTGACCGTTACCATCTCCCAGAGCAGAGCGCCGAGGCTCTCGATGATAAGGGTACTCAGCCTATGTCTGCGTTATTTAGCTGCTCAAAGGGTTCTAGCTCTGGCTACTGGAGGCTTTCAGTTGGCTTCTGTGTCTGACATAACCCTGTCACTGTGTTTCGTAAGTACTTCCTTACCTGTACTACAATAAACTCCAGGATCCGGGGACCTCTGGTTGTTTCTATTGGGGAATGTCATTATAAGTCAAGATCTGCGCTCTTGGAGTGCTCACTGTGCTGACGTCATTGTTTCTTGGCCACCTCAAGTTAGACAGCAAGGACATACATGTGCATACTCAATATTTTTTAAGTGACTGAGTCTCGGAGCTGGGGAGATAGCTCAGTGGTCTAAGCAGCTGTCTGGCAAGCAGCAGGACTTCAGTTTAATCCCCCAGTACTACATGCCGTGCAGACCCTGGTGGTGAGGCCCTGTATCAAAAGAATAAAAATAAAAAATAAAAATACAGGGCTGGCTTGACAGCTCAGTGGACTAAAGCACCTGCTTAGGCAGACGCAGCGGCCACGGTTTGATCCCCAGTGTGCTCTGCCGGCCCCACCCACAGAGCATGCTGAGAGGGCAGTTGAGACTGGGCATGGTGGCACGTGCCTGTAATCCCAGCATTTGGGAGGCTGAAAACAGGAGAATCACTACAAGTCCAATCTATGTAGTGAGACCCTGTAGCCCCTGTACTAAAAAACAAATGACTGAGTCTCATATCCAAAACATAAGTTTTTTCATTCTCTGAAGTCACAAATGATACACCTTTTCTTCTGGAATGTTGTTCTGTATGCACAGTCTCGGTTTCTTTTAAGATGCAGTCCTCTGCCTGATGACCTTAGCTTTCTTTGCCATGTGGATTTGGGCTGTCCACTAAGATTCAACGTGGGCCGGTCAGTGGTCCTGAGCATATGGTGCACCCTGGTAATGCCAAGATTCTCAGTGGGGAACTCTGGGAGTGCTCTAGGGACTATGGATAATGTTGGGCCTTTTCTTGGGACTATTTCTACTTCCAGAAAAGGGCTTTCTGGTCCCATGTCTGGCAGTGAGAGTCCAGC